TATTATCTATATTATCTATATTAGATATATAATATATATAATATATATAATATATATAATATAAATAATATAATATATATAATAAAATAAATGTGTTTTCGAGTCGTTTTATCTAACTTCCATCCAGGTTGTGGGGTCTATAGTTGAGCATTCTTTGTCTACGCATTAAATCCATCCAATTTATAATGGTTATTAATGATTATTAATTAGCCCTCCAGACTCCGACAAAATGGTCGGGACTGGAGGGCAACAAACTCGCACTTCCAATGCAAAATTCCGGTACCAGGCGGGGGGTCCACTTACAAGATAGCAAAACCCAGGGTCAAAATTTTGCACAAAATGGTAACCAAAAACCACTTTATAACGGCCCTGAGGCCTCAAATTTAGTAACAAAAAATTCAACGGGGATGTCTTGTATATTTTTCCCCTGTTACCTGTGGAATGGGTGGAGTGCAAAGTGTAAAGTATGAAGTGTAAAATATAAATTGTGAAGTGTAGAGTGTGGAATGCAGAATGTAAAGTGTAAAGTAGGACTATAAAGTGTAAAATATACAGTGTAAAGTGTGGAGTATGGAGTGTAAAGTGTAGACTGTAAAGTGTAGAGTGTAAAGTGTGGAGTGTAAAGTATGGAGTGTAAAGTGTGCAGTGTGGAGTGTAGAGTGTAGAGTGTGGAGTATAAAGATTAGAGTGTAAAGTGTGGAGTGTAGAGTGCTGAATGCAAAGTGTAAAGTGTAGAGTGTAAAGTGTTGAGTGTGGAGTGTAGAATGTGGAGTGTAAAGTGTAAAGTGTGGAGTGTGGAGTGTAAAGTGTAGAGTGTAGAGTGTAGTGTGGAGTGTGGAGTGTAAAGTGTAAAGTGTAGAGTGTGGAGTGTAGAGTGTGGAGTGTAGAGTGTGGAGTGTGAAGTGTAGAGTGTAATGTGTGGAGTGTAAAGTGTAAAGTGTGGAGTGTAAAGTATGGAGTGTAAAATATAGAATATTCAATGAGGAATGTAGAATGTTGAGTGCAAAGTGCAAAATATAAGAGTGTAGAGTGTTAAGTGCAAAATACAAAAATGTAGAGTGTGGTGGAATGTTAAGTGTAGAATGTGGGTGTAAAGTGTAGAGTGTGAAGTGTAAAATAGGAAATAAAAAAAATGGGGAATATAAAATATAGAATGTATTGTGTAGAATGTAAAAAACAAAAAAATAATAAATTATCGAATGATAATTATAGAATAAATAATATTAAATAGAAATAATATATAATATAATTAAGAAATAATTATTATCTTAAATTATTATATATAATATATATATATTATATATACATCATATATATCATTTATATTATATATTATATATATATTATATATATTATATATATATTATATATTATTTATATTGTATATATTATATATATTATCTATATTATCTATATTATCTATATTATCTATATTACCTATATTATCTATATTTTCTATATTATTTATATTATCTATATTATCTATATTAGATATATAATATATATAATATATATAATATATATAATATATATAATATATATATAATATATATAATAAAATATATATAATATAATATATATATAATATATATAATATATATAATATATATAATATATATTATATATATAATATATATTATATATATAATATATATAATATATATAATATAGATAATATAGATAATATAGATAATATAGATAATATATATAATATATAATATATATAATATATATAATATATATAATATATATATAATATATAATATAAATGATATATATGATAATATATTATATATATATTATATTATATTATATATATATTATATGTCAACATAGCTCATGCTGTTGTCATTTTCACCTTTGCCATCCTAAGGTGCTCCAAGGTACTAAGGTGATTTGCCGTGGCCACCGCGGCCCAATGCCCCAATTTACAGGGGGCCCTTGGAGCCACCACATGGCCGTTGCGGATTTGACCGCTTCCGCTTGGCGAAGGAAAAGGACTTGAACTACGCTGCCAGTGACTTCGAGGGCATCTGCAGCTTGGGATCTAGGCCTGTTGGGACTTGGACATCTTGGTGTGGTTCCTGTGGTTCCCCTACGGCTAGATCGATATTGGTAGCGGAGCCCAACACGGGCTACCGCAGGGCTTTGGCTACTTCCTGTACCCCTTCCTCGCTTTGGACTCCTTCGAGGGCATGCCTGGGGGAGGTGGACACGGAGGTGGACAGCCCAAGGCCGCTCCGGCCTCCAACGCTGCTGCTGCGCAAGGTGATCAAGCTCAAGCCAATGGAGGTACAGCTTCACAAGGGCAAGGTGGCTTCGAAAGAGGCTTAGACTCCGGCCTTGCAAAGGCTGCACCGTCGGCACAGGGCTTGACACAGAAAACATACCGAGCCTATAGAAGGCGACTGGATTTGTTCAGCAGACAATGCAGCAGAAGGGGCAACACTGTCTCTGTCGAAGGTGCCTACCTGGTGCTTAGCCAACTTCAAGATGTAGCTTGGGATGCTACCGAAAGCATCGAGCTGGATGACATCGAATTGGCTGACAACCCCTTCGAGCCCATTGTCAAGGTCTTGGATGCGTTATTTCAACATGAAGAAGAAATTGAACTACCAGAGCGCTGCCAAGAATTTTTCGAACAATTCCAGCGAGAACGACAAGAGGAGCTTCAGCAATATCTTGTCCGGCATCAGACGATGCTCAAGAAGTTGAAGGATTTGCAAGTAGATGTCCCTCCACTACTTGCTGGCTGGCATCTCTTGATGCGCGCTGGCATTCCGAGATGGACACATCCACAATGAAGTCTATGTGCAACGGAAAGCTCACCACGGAGAAGGTGGCTCGCGCATTGACCCAGATGTTTGGAGGTGACAGCAAACCCAGCTCCAAAGACACCACGTTCAAGCACGAGGTGCACATGGTCGACGTCGATGGTGACTACGACGATGAGGTCTATGATGAATGCTACTATGAGGATGACGAGACCTTCTACACCAACGACTATGAAGAGGACTACATGGACGATGCCTACTACGCTGACAACAACAACATCGTCGGTGACGAGGAGATCCCCGCCGAATTGGATGAGGCGACATTGGTGGTTGAAGATGCCTACATCAACTACCTGGACAGCAGGAAGAAGATGAGGGAGTTAGCCCTCGCCAGAGGATTTTACCCTGTGGTTGCGCTGGACATGGGCGACGGCAACTACAAGGGCAACAATGGTGGGCGATCGACAGGCAAGTCAAAAGGAAAAGGAGGAGGCAAAAGCAAAGGGAAAGACAGTGGTTCCAAAGGATCACATCCCCTGCCTGGTGCCAAACGATTTGTCTTTGGCCGCAGATCGAACTCTGAATCGAGATCAACGGCTTCAACGACGGCAAGGTCTACTACCAGTGGTAGCACTGCACAACATGGTCCACGATTCAAGAGGTATCGCTTGCCAGCCTCAGGAATCAAAGAGGTTCCTGACGATACCAACATGGTTGAGGACAGACCCACAGAGGTGACACCTGTCCCTGGCGAGTTCCATCAACATGAGGAGATCAACTTCACCTCACAAGAGGTTGGATGGGCCATCATGGACAGTGGTGCAACAAGAACTGTCTGTGGGGAGGCCACATGGGACAAAATCGCCGGCTACCTCAACATGAGAGGCATGGAGGCTGAGATCAACAAAGATCCCCGCGATTTCCGGTTTGGAGATGGCGTCACACTTCAGTGCCAACACCCCAGTTTGTGTGGGAAGAGCCTGGCGACAGCTGACAATTCATGTTTTGCCGGGACACACACCCTTACTTTTGGCCAGGCCTGACTTGGAAGCCTGGAATGTCATGGTCAACTATGGCAAGAAACTGGTCTACGTGGATGGTGCTGAGATTCGACCTGTTTTCACTGCGAACGGCCACTACATGATCAACATCTTCGACGACTTGCAGGACATCCTCAATGTCGACGACTTGAATGTCAAGAACGTCAACTCGGCTGATGACGAGGTTTTCCTCGACACCATCATGACCGACGACATCTCTGATGAGGAGATGGATCTTGAGGTCGACGTGGATGAAGAGACCATCGAGGAGGTGATTTACCGGGTGGTCGACAAGAGCAAGATTTCTCAAAGGGTTCTCAAGTTCTGGGAGGTCTACATCGACGAAGGCAACTTGGGCAAGTATCTTCAGGCCAACTACCCCGATGTGGAAGTGCGACAGTTTTCACTTCCCCAATGGAACTTTGAGATGAACGAAGCTCAAAGGGATTTCCGCAAGTTGGTCGCTGAAGAGAAGCCACACCATGTGATGGTGGCACCTGAGTGCCGACTTTGGTCTCCGATGCAGAACCTGAACTATCGAACACCTGAACGACGAGCACTCCTGGCAGACATGCGAAATCTTGAAGAAAGCACTCACTTGAAGTTCTACGATGACATCCACAGCGACTCCAAGAAGATCTACTACGATTGCACACGGGACAGCCCGCTGATGCGGTTTCATGGAAAACCGAGACTTTGGAGAAGATGAGGGGCTACTGCGAGACTGTGTTGGATCGATGCCGCACTGGACTTAAACTTGATGAAGACGATCCACACCATGTCCGCAAACCAACACGTTTCAGATCTACATCCCGAAAAGTCTGCGAAGCTGTGAACTTGAGATGCCAATGTACCCTTGGCCATACACAAATGATGGGACGTGGCCAAGCACTCAAGCGCATGCAGAACTACGAGCCTGATCTGGTTCGAAGACTTGGAGATGCGATCTACGAGTCTATGGGTGAGATCTGGCGCAAACGTGGCACAGCCGAACTCATGGCATTGGAGCTTGTTGAGCACTCCAATGAAGAAATGCAGTACCTTGAGCAGAACAAGGAGCTGGTGAAGATTGGTGGTCCCGAGGTTTTGAAGTCAGTTGCACTCCTGCACAGACAGCTCGGACATCCCAATGGAGCCAAACTGGTTCTGGCTGCAAAGACACGCCACATGTCCAACGAGTACGTGCAGGTGGCTCGACGATACCGATGCCCACAGTGCATTGCCAAAGCACAACCAAAGGCAGTGCGGGTTGCCACTCTTCACAAGGCACCCCATTTCAACCATACTGTGGCCATCGACACCTTCTACGTGGAGTGGGACAAAGAGAAGAAAGCAGTCTTCACCATCCTGGACGAGTTCAGCAGGTACGAGGTCGACTGTGAAATCAAAGATGAGACAGCCGAAATGGAGCTTGCACTGTTTGACTCCACATGGGCCAAGAGCTTTGGCTATCCAAAGATCATCAGAATGGATGCATCTGGACCCCATCAAGGTGAACTTTTCGCAGAATGGGCCTCCAACCATGGCATCAAGGTGAACCTGATCCCTCGTGGTGCTCATCACCGGCTTGGAATTTTGGAAAGGAACCATGCCGTGAGACGAAAGATGCTGGAAACTTTCAAGGCAGAAGTTCCAACCTGCAGCTTCGAACATGCGCTGCTGGTGACGTCACATCAGAGGAACAGACTGAGTTCAGTCAAGGGCTCAACGCCAGCCACTTTGGCATTTGGCTATGTTCCCTCTGAGGGCGGTGTCATGGATGAGCCTGGTCCTGAAGCTTTTGGTGACCAAGCAGATCTACCACGGATCATGGAGATCAAACAACAGGCTGCAATCGCCTTTCACAAGGCCAACCAGGACTTGGCATTGAGAGCTGCTGCCCTCCATCGCTCACGCATCGAAGAGGATGAGCTCATGGTGGGTGACTGGGTTTTCTACTGGAAGCCACAAACTCACAAGTTGGACCCCTTCAGATGGCGAGGACCAGCACTGGTCATTGCTGTGGAGTGCACCACAGACAGAGCCACTACCATCTACTGGGTGGTTCATGGCAGCTCACTGGCGCACAACGCGCCAACAGCTCAGGCGCGAAACAGTCCCTGAACGATATGAGCGACAAGCCAAGCCTGGAGCTGAAAATGATCTCAAGAGACCCTTGGCAGACAGAATTTTGACCGCTTTGCGTCCTGTTCGTGGTCCTGTCAGAGGTTTGGACTTGGCTGCACGTGCTCAAACACCTGATGATTTCCCTTCTTTGGGGGGTAGGTCTTCCATTAACACTTCAGATGGCACCGCTTCGGCTACTGCAGTCCCACCACATGAACCAGCACGACCTCCGACTGCAACAGCGGCAGCCTCATCGATGGAAGCTGAACCTACTGCAACAACGACTGAAACCCCTACCGCAAGGGCGAACCCGGATGATGACAAGACCGACCTGGACCAGTTGGCAAAGAAACGCTTGCCAGCACCTGTCAAGGACAAAGGCAAGAGCTCTGCAAAATTCCCAGTTCACAAACGGGAGAAGACTTCACCCATTGGACTTCGGGCAGAACCTTCCGGTGAGACTGAGGAATCTGCTCAGTTTGCTGATCGACCGATGGACTTCGAGATCACGGCTGAGCAGGCAGAGATCAGAGATCGACTCACAGCGATTCTCCCTGGAATCATGGAATCACACAACTCCATTGCAGAGAACAACCAGGAACCAGCTGAAGATGACGCTGATCGCGCGCGTGAACGTCGCCACTTGGAACAGGCTATCAGAACAGCCAGCAGGATCTCCGAAGATCGCAATCGAAGATTGGACGGCATCCCACGCCGCCAAGAAGATGGACAGGCAAAGCCAAAACAACCCAAGACTGAAGAGCTCCATCTCACCGAGATCACAGAGGAGGAGATTTTGCACACAGTGGTCGAGAGCCGACTTGGCACTGAAGAGAAGAAGGCGTTCACAGAAGCCAAACGAAAGGCTTTGGCGCCCTGGTCAGAGAACGACGCATGGAGAGCTGTGAGAAGGGACAAATGCCCCAAAGGAACAATTGTTCCTATGCGGTTCTTGCTCAGGTACAAGGAGGACAAGCCTCATGCGAGGGTGATCCTACAGGGCTTCAAGCACAAGGATGTCTTGGAGTCAAACCAGTTCACTTTTGCGGCCCCCCTACAGTTGGCGGCCAAGACTATGCATTAATTAGCTAATTTACCAGTTCTATGCAACATGCAATTGAACGTGTTAAACGACCTGGCGAAAGCCAAGAGGCGTTGGACGGAAAAAAAAGGATGTCTTGGAGTCAAAGCTGGACACCGAATCACCAACGATCTCCCGACTTGGCAAATACCTGATGGTGCTCATGGCCTGCAGCAAACGATGGCGCATTGGCACCATGGATGTGAAAAGAAAAGTGCCTTTCTGCAGAGCGACTACATCCATCAGGAGGTCGAGATCTATGGTGAACCCTCGGCAGATATGAGACGTCTCCTTGTGGAGTTGATCGGCCTGAAGGAGCACGAAATCATGCAGATGACAAAGCCAGCCTTCGGTGACGTCAGAGCGCCTCGACAATGGAATGAGACGGCAGACAAAGCCTTGCTCACCGACGTTGGATTGCTCAAGCACGAGCTGGACGGCTGCATCTACATCTTGCGCTTGGTAATGCAGGAGGATGACCAGTTCACCGTCTTCGACATGAACGGCCAGAGCTACGTCGTTGATGGGCTCTTTGGACTTCACGTTGACGACGTTCCCCTCTTCGCGTCCTGGTTAAGTAACGTTCATCTCATTTTCACTCTCATCTCATTTTTCATCCCCCGTTCATCCTCATTTTCATCTCATTTTTACGCGCACCACCCTGCCGGAGGCAGGGTGTGTGTGTGTATCGTCTGAATAGACGTAAAACTTCGTCCTTATATTATACATATGGCAGGGGGCAGAGGGATCTCCAGTTGTGGCCTCTGCCAATGAAGCTCCACACTGGAGATCAGGTAAACGTACCTGCCTTGTCCCGCCCTGGGCGCATTTAAGACGCAGCTGGGGGGACATATAATATATTTTATCGCTGTTGTTTTATACTGTCATTGTCTACTGTGATCTATATATATATATATATCGTATATTAATTCGGTTCCTGTCTAATCTGCATGTTACAGGATTCAGTTCCTGCCGGATCATATAATGATCCATTCTTGTCTAGTGTGTGTGTCTTGATAAAGGGATGTGGGAAAGCCTATAATAAGCTTACCATTTGGGGAGGATTGAAATCCTATCCATAAAATTGGTGATTTGGGGGGTGGTTTATGGCAGTCGGTGGATTCCAACCTATGCTAAACTCGAATAGGATTGGTCATATCATGGTTGCTCCTCTAACTAGAAGACATAATTTAGTGGCTCCATTTTGGAGGCAGTTATCCACATCCAAGTTTATGGATTATTTCTGTTTGGTTGCGACCCCCTGGCACAATGACCAGCGCAAGAGTTGCTAGGCTAACATCGAAACAAACATGCTGTTACCATCCGTTACCTCGAATGCCAAGTTTGGGGTACTGCTTGGGAACTATGAAAGGGTGCCTTTTGACAAGTGGAGGACACTGTCATAACCAATCAATGTGTGTGTGTGTCTTGATAAAGGGATGTGGGAAAGCCTATAATAAGCCTACCATTTGGGGAGGATTGAAATCCTATCCATAAAATTGGTGATTTGGGGGATGGTTTATGGCAGTCGGTGGATTCCAACTTATGCTAAACTCGAATAGGATTATCATGGTTGCTCCTCTAACTAGAAGACAGAATTTAGTGGCTCCATTTTGGAGGCAGTTATCCACATCCAAGTTTATGGATTATTTCTGTTTGGTTGCGACCACCCCTGGCACAATGACCAGCGCAAGAGTTGCTAGGCTAACATCGAAACAAACATGCTGTTACCATCCGTTACCTCGAATGCCAAGTTTGGGGTACTGCTTGGGAACTATGAAAGGGTGCCTTTTGACAAGTGGAGGACATTGTCATAACCAATCAATGTCTGTGTGTGTCTTGATAAAGGGATGTGGGAAAGCCTATAATAAGCCTACCATTTGGGGAGGATTGAAATCCTACCCATAAAATTGGTGATTTTGGGGATGGTTTATGGCAGTCGGTGGATTCCAACCTATGCTAAACTCGAATAGGATTGGTCATATCATGGTTGCTCCTCTAACTAGAAGACATAATTTAGTGGCTCCATTTTGGAGGCAGTTATCCACATCCAAGTTTATAGATTATTTCTATGAGGTTGCGACCACCCCTGGCACAATGACAAGCGCAAGAGTTGCTAGGCTAACATCGAAACAAACATGCTGTTACCATCCGTTACCTCGAATGCCAAGTTTGGGGTACTGCTTGGGAGCTATGAAAGGGTGCCTTTTGACAAGTGGAGGACACTGTCATAACCAATCAATGTGTGTGTGTGTCTTGATAAAGAGATGTGGGAAAGCCTATAATAAGCTTACCATTTGGGGAGGATTGAAATCCTACCCATCAAATTGGTGATTTTGGGGATGGTTTATGGCAGTCGGTGGATTCCAACCTATGCTAAACTCGAATAGGACTGGTCATATCATGGTTGCTCCTCTAACTAGAAGACATAATTTAGTGGCTCCATTTTGGAGGCAGTTATCCACATCCAAGTTTATAGATTATTTCTATTTGGTTGCGACCACCCCTGGCACAATGACCAG